CCAGGCCCTGACTAGGTACTTTATGTTAAAGGATATGATTTTGTTCGCTCAGCGCCAACATCTTTTCTGCAAAAGTATTGTCATTTGCAGAATCAATAGCTAACACAGGACGAAAAGCGTTGCATAACGCACATACAATGTGAACCAAGTACCCGACAAATGGGGTTTGGCTATTTGGCTATTTGGCATAACATTATCAATGGCTTTCCAGCGCTTAAAACGACCATTGGCAAGTTCTTCTTCCCACCTTTTTATGTAACTAATCTTAATTCGTTTGCTTCTTCTGGGGTGTGCTGCTTCTGTCTTTCAAGGAGAAAGTAAGACATTTACGTTTTAATGTAGGTTTTTCTAGAGGAAGTCTAGCACATCACGAAAACCCCTGTCTAAACGAAGGACATGGTTTTCATGAAACACACTGTTGTTAAATATATGCTTATTTTGCGTCATTGTTGTGGCCATCAGCAAGGAAATGGCCAAGTGCAGAAAAATAAAGCCATCCGTTGTCGAAAGCAGCATTGGTTTAAGTAGAGGTCTTCATTTGTACATTGAAAAGGAATGTCTCTGGAAAGATAGCTGTGACTTTTTTTTCATATTATGTCCCAACGGCAACAGCAAAAACAACGTCGTTCTAGTTTGAATTAGATATTCAAAGTCCAAACTTTTCTGGGATACAACCTGTCGTGGCGATTCAAAAATACTTTGAACATACGGAGAACATTTCGAAAAATATTCATCTTGAATTTTGCCATCAAGAAGATGACAGAAACAGTGTCTGCCTGCAGGGCCCACATTCATGAATCCATTCTCATGCTCACAGTCAGTCTGTGCTTAAACCCAATTTCTTGTTCCTACGATAAATAAATAAATAAAATCCTATTTTGTCAATTATACGGAAGAAATTTGAACGGACTAAAAGCTAAATGCTGTTGTCAATGTTAACACTTGGCTTTTTGATAGTGAGAACTTATTTAAGCGGTTACAAGAAAGTCGGCTTGAGCACAGATTCCATGCTTGAACATGAGAATGGTTTCATGAATACGGGCCCAGATCTGATTAAAATGTTTGTTTACATTTCCGTATTACGGTATTTCATTTAGATATTGTTTCTTTGCGACCGGTTTGCTTGACAGCTAAAGCAGTTCAGTTCCGCTACATTCGTCCCTCCTTTTTCTAGTCCGATTCCGCTACATTCGTCCCCCCTTTTTCTAGTCCGATTCCGCTACATTCGTCCCCCCTTTTTCTAGTCCGATTCCGCTACATTCGTCCCCCCTTTTTGCTAAGTCTTCGCCACTGAAGACATCACTATTTGGGTATCGGGTATCCCCTCGCCAAGTATTCACCCAATATTTGAAACAAGGGTGGGTCACAGTCACCAAGGGTAATAGGAGCGGGAAAAGTCACGACCAGACCACCGTGACTCAGAAAATAAATGATGCCCAATGTATTTTAAGTTTAACAACTTTATGCTTGGACTATGGTTTAACATCGTCCGATCCGCAATCCGAGTGATGATTTTGATGTGAATAAAAGTTTTCTCTGTATTTTTTTGCAAACCACATCACCTTTTTTTCAGATTGTTATTGGCGTTTGTTTAAAAATATGAAAGGATATACCTATTGCATAGGGCACTTAATGGAATATTATATAACGCCCCTTGCAACATGCATAGATATTGCCCTTTCTTTGCATTCTGTTATAAAGTCCAAGATTATTTGCAAAATGAGAAAAGGTTTTAAAAAATGGCAGTACATGTACTTAAGTTTTCTCGAGTCACTAATGAAAAGGAGAACCCGACAAATAGAGATATACTCAGTCAACTACGTTACTTAACTTTTTTTCTGTTGAGAGATTAAATGGTCGCACTTGTAACGTGCCCCGCCTTGGGGCAAGCTCGGACAGACAGTCTGGGGTAAGTCCGGCCCCTTTGGAATTGACATAATAAAGGATGCAAAGTCAGATTTTTCCGCCGCTGTCATGACTTTCCTTCTGTTGTCTGGGTCGGACCTGTCCTAAATTGGTATTTTAATATAATGAAATTTATATATTCAAACATGTAAGTCTATGCTAGACTTATATGTATACCATCATGTGAAGTTGTCGGTATGTTGACGCTTATTACACAGATCTACATCTACATATATATTGAACACCTTCATCAAGTTGAAGATTATGTCAAGGTGAGAGTGAGAGGGTGCTAGCGCTGAGAAGAGAAGGAACGAAAGAGAGGGAGAGATAGAAAGATAGAGAAGAAATAGCTTAGTGGAGAGAGCGAATTGCAAATTTGAAAGCCGATTGATGCAATGTCAGGTGGCAAGGACTTCCTGTCAATGATCTAAACACCTTAGTTTAGGTCCAAATATAGATGTAACAAATTCTCAGGTCCCTGTGGAAGCGACCATTATCGTTCTGCCATCTATTTTTTACTTGGTTTCAAATCGACAGGTTTCAGGGTATTTCCCCCATGCAACACAACCAAAATATTTAGATATGGGGTGGGGGGATGGTGGGGAGCAAAATCCTTAGAAGATTGTTCTATGGATAATTTCAGGGGAGTGAATTTTCGGATTTCTATACTAATGCAATGCACATAGTCCTTGTTTTTTCAGTGTAAACTGTTATTTAAAAAAAGGTTTTCTGAAAAAAAATCCCAATAGGTGAGATCAGCCAGGAGAAGTTTATCAATTGTTATGAAAATCAGGGGATGTAACTGTAGGTAAGGAACACAAAAAGATAACTCTCTATTATTTTGTCGCAAGCAGGGGGACATCAATCCTTAATACAGATGAAATGAAAAAAGATTTTGAGATTTTCCCTGGATTTACTACTCTCATTGTCCGTCTCTGGCTCCGTGCTAGGTCTGTCTCAAAACGAGAAATGTCTCGTATAACGATAGGCTGCATATATATGTCTATGTATTATTTCTGTCCTCCTGTAGCGGAACTGGACTAGGTCAATCGTCGGCGACTAGGTATCTCAATTGTTAGAGCGTCCGTCTTAGTTCAGAGGGTTCCGGGTTCGAACCCCGGTCTGGTTTTCCATTTGGTTTCTCCTATTTATTCCACTTGGTGCCTGTGACAAACTCTTGTTTCAAGTATTGCGTGAATGCCTGGCACGGCCACGGGATACCCGAGCTTTGGTTGTAAATAGTGATTTATTCGGGGGTGAAGACTTAGATAAAAGGAGGGAGGAATGTAGCGGAACTGGACTGGGTCGATCGTTGGCGACCAGGTAACTCAAAAGAAGAGCATTCGTCTAGAGTTCGGAGGGTCTTGGGTTCGAACCCCGGTCTAGCCGTGCACTTACTCGCTTCTATTACATTCCAAAAGGTAAGTTTCTCATAATGATTGAACGCGTTTTGTTTTCAATATCATGCTGGTATGAATGCAAATCGGTTATAACCAAGTGGGCTTCATGGTAAATATATATGTAACCGATTTTGCGTTCATACCGGCATGAACAATAAAAAAAAAATACCGTTCAATTCTCATATGAACGCAATTTCTTATGGTCATGCTCATAGAGGAACGTCATCTTCGCTAGCCAAGGGTTATTATCCGGTACAATCTACATACTCAAAGTATAACGATAGCCAAGGGTTACTATCCGGTACGATCTATATACTCAAAGTATAACGATAGCCAAGGGTTACTATCTGGTACAATCTACATACTCAAAGTATAACGATAGCCAAGGGTTACTATCCGGTGCAATCTACATACTCAAAGTATAACGATAGCCAAGGGTTACGATCCGGTACGATCTATATACTCAAAGTATAACGATAGCCAAGGGTTACGATCCGATACGATCTACATACTCTTCTGTACACATACTTTGATAATCGAATTTTCTATATCATTTTTCATGCGAATGTTTGGTCGAGTCAAGTTCAGTATTAAATAGATCCTGAAATGTGGATATTTGCTTCAAAGACTCAAAATATCGGGGGTGACCGGATTTGCCCCGGGGCCTAATAAAACTTGCCGACGGGGCTGTTATATTTTGTAATATTGCAGACCTAGACATTAGTTTGATTCACCAAACATAACTTGGTTACTTAGAAGACTTGTAAACAGAAAAATCTGTTGTACGGTTTAGTTTTGCGCAATAGTCATGTCCACCACCTGTGTATGATAGATCTATCTGATATATGTACACACGACTAACTTGAGGCTATATAACCATTTTGCCACAGATTGTGGCATAAATTTGGTAACATAGTCACACATGAAATAATGTGACGTAAAATCTCTCCCCCTCGCAGTCATTCATTCCAAAGTGGATTTACTTTAAGACAGCTTATAAGGAAAGGTGATCGAGTGCAAAACATGTGTATTGGACTGTAGAAATAGACAAGGCTTGTTCTATAGTGTTTTACGTTCAGTATACTGTAGTACGCAGTGGTAAAGTCGTCTAAGAGGAATATATGTATGCATGTTTTCTGAGGGCAGTGAGCCCTAAGACTCTCTGTTTCTATCGGATCACATTGATTCGCTAAAATACGGTAACCGATATATATATGAGGTCACAGCACACCTAAGCATGTCTACGTATCGATACTGAACTGGGGCACAGCACACCTAAGCGTAAAATACACATATGCTATAGGCCTTCTGATCTGGGTCACAGCACATCTAAACATGTGGGTGTGATCTGACCAATATCAGTGCAACATATGCATTTTAGAGATTTGTAACTAGCCCCTGTGACCAGATCGAATGATTGACAGCGAACATGTACAGTACAAAGATAGATTACTCCCCTTGGTCCAGAAACCTTTTTTAACTTCCGTGTGCTACACCGTCGCGGAGGACAAAATAGTTCAACACTTTAATGTGATTCTTTTCCATTCAACATTCAGTCAAATGTTCTATTTATTCAGGTTAATATATTTTATTTATTTATTAATTAGTCATTAATGAAAATCATCGTAAATTAAGCCAGTTCTGTACGCGTATGAATATATTACACTCCATCTACCGAACTACTTTCTTTGACAATATGGCGGGTTAGAATCACAAAAGCCAGCTTTGATGATTGAACCATTGCTTTAGCCATTCGCTTCAAGGATTTTGACTTCGGTTGGACATCAGACGCAAACAGAACTATTATATTAATATTTAGGACTTTCGTTCTATGGGATTGGAGTCGTGTAACTCATCATGAAAACTGTTTATGGAGAAGGAACCTGACATCACTTCGAGTTCGAGTGAGTCAGCATCCGAACCCGAGATAAGAAACCCCAAAGAAAATTTTGGCATCATGAAAATAAGAAACAAATTGAAGTTGTGATAATCACGTGTCTGGAACTTACACTACACACGTGTGTAAAATGTATTAATTTCAGGTAAGAAACGCAAACATTTTGTCCGCTTGTTATGAGCAGACATGTTTTAGTTTTTTTGGGAGTCTCCCCTCCTGGTTTCGATCGGTGCTATTTACAACACCGATAGAAATATCATTGTCTAAATATCTACATTTGCACGTATATTGTTATTCATTCCATTGGTGGGTTTAATGTTTGCAAACAATGATATCTTTGACTGTTAATACGGAGCTGTATTATTGCCTTCTCAATACACAACCTTGTGTATTGCAAATTGAGCGTTACAGTACATATCTATATTGAGCACATATCTGCTCAGAACATAATAACAATTTATTATGATACCACGTTTCATTGATTTGTTCAACTTACATGATGTACTTGGTATTTTATGCAAAAAGTGGATGTCACATAGAATGCATTAAGGTTTATAAATATATTTCTATAGTCCAACCCTGGACATTGCTAGAAGGTTTGGCAAAACTGGTTACCACTGTGGTGTTGCATATGTATGGTTCATCTTGTGTACAGTATTTGCGCACAGAAGAAAGACAGTGTGACCCTCACGTCACGTTGGCCTATATTTACCGATACTGACCTTGCATGCTATCCTACATCCTCGATATCCAGGGGTTACGCTTACTTTCGCTCTCTGCACCCCTGAAATATGTCATAGCAAAATTGAAGGCACAAAGATAGCTGTTTGATTGGTGTCGGGTAAAAAAACCTGACCAATCGCTAGACTGATACCTGTCCTTTGAAGATTACAAAGGCGAGACGCCAGACTTCAAAGCCTGTGAATTTCTACCGTTACGTGACCGCAAGATTCTTTTGATGTACATCAAAGGATCGAACTAGTCTTCTTGTCTCATCAACAAGGTGGCGCACAGGAAGCCTTCAACTTTGCTATGATATATTCCAGGGATGTAGAGAGAGAAAGTGAATGTAACTTCTGGATATCGAGGATGGCGATTGCTTTTCCTTCTAACCAAATTCTGTGACCTAAAAACAACTTACTATCTAAGTAATGAAATGGTAATTGTTACTGTGAACCTGCTTTAAGGGTTGAATGTTCCAGTAGTTTAGCCTAGGCCTCCTCACAGGTGACCAAAGTTTGATTCTCAGATCAAGTGAAGTGTAGGATTTTAAGAGATAGGTATTTTCATTCCCTGTTCACCTTCAACTTAAATTATTCAAAGTCCTTTAATATGACTGAAATATGTAGGTCCTGTTCAGTTTGTCTTGATGTATGTGAAGGATCTTTAATCACAAAAAGTTACAGATCTAGAATTAACAGAGAAACTTAGCTACATATGCAACAGAGGTCATCATTTTTCAATGCCTCCGCTAGAAGTAGAACCCAGGAGCAGCGGTCATTATTTTGTCTATTCCTCCGCTAGGAGATGAACCCGGGATCTCTGCCTTACTAGTCTTAGGCTCGACCAAATGAGCTAAAGAGAAATATCCCCTAGCCGAATCAGTAGGAAGCAGCTAGTATTTACCGATACTCTCCAAACTCTCCCTCCAGGAAAGAACTCTTTTTTTTTCAAGGGGTCATAATGATTCTTGTGAAAGTATGGCTAGGTATTTTGTCAGTATTTCCAAGATCCCTATATGTTGGTGCCACTGTAACTGAAGTCATTATTCTATCAATACCTACGATAGGAGTCAAATCCAGGACCTTTGGTTTACTAGTCTTATGTCTACTGAATGAGCTGGAGAAATTCTCCCTAGCCGAATTGGTAGGAAGCGGCTAGTATTTTACAAGGGTGACACATAGAAGAACTAAACTGCGAGTTTCCAATTTACTGGTAGTAAGTTGTGTAGTTACAGCACCCATTTCAGAAAAAGATTCAAGTCCAAGTTTGCCTTTGTAATACAACATCTCGGTTACATGTTACATGCTTGTTGTTCCAGTGTCATTGACTGACCTCTAGATAACGTGTGTTGCTCCTTGGACTGACCAATCTGTAGTATGCATCCATGTCTCCATGGAATGACCAGTCGGTAATATGTACATTGTCTCATCAAATAAACAAAGTCTTTTGGACAGGTCATGACGAATAAGTAGCTTGCACAGGTCATGACGAATTAGTAGCTTGGACAGGTCATGACGAATTAGTAGCTTGGACTGGTCATGACGAATTAGTAGCTTGGACAGGTCATGACAAATTAGTAGCTTGGACAGGTCATGGCGAATTAGTAGCTTGGTCAGGTCATGACGAATAAGTAGCTTGGACAGGTCATGACGAATTAGTAGCTTGGACAGGTCATGATGAATCAGTAGCTTGGACAGGTCATGA